TTATAAATAATTTGTAGAACTTGACTTGAGATGGAAAAGATATGTTTTGGAGTGCTTATCAGTTCCTTATTATTTATATCCAATTGCTACGTAATAGATCCTAATGCTAGTCTAGCTTCGGCCTATAGGGTATTCTGCTGATGAAGGAATTACACCATACTTGTGTGCGATTATTTGTGGTTGTCAAATTTGAATGCTTATCATGAATCATAAAAGCCTATTTTTTAGATCATACAGTAATCAACGTAAAAAAAGACAGTGGAAAAAATATTTATATTACCATAACTTGAATAAAAACAACACTGTAAATAGTAATCCAATGGCTACCAAGGACTTCAAAACTCATTGTAAGACTCCCTGAACCCTAAATAAGCTAAGGAGTAGGACAATCTGAGAAGAGGCAAAATTGAATGTAGAAGCTTGCATTGACCAAAAAAATATAGAAGCATATAGAAGTTCTATGAGAGAGAGCCCTCTTTGAATATCTGCTGGTGGAGATTGTATTTAGTGTCAGATTTTTGAAAGGAAAGAAAAATGTAAAATTAATTGGTACGGTAAGCCTCTTCATAATTCAGTCTCACAGAAATGCATCGTCTTACTGGTTTCTCACATATTCAGTTCAGCATAATTTACTTAATTTTAATGCCCCTGTGGCTGTATTGCTGAACATTAGCTGCAGCAAATATTATATGCCATTTGCTCAGGTTCTATTTCATCTACCAATCTGTTTAATTATCTATTTCCTCGTTCCAGGTACCCGCCATGGGAGAAATGATTGCAATGTTGAAGAAAAAACATAACATTTTTGGAGTACTTTACGGCTGGTTCCTTGCCAAGGCACGATTCTATCTTGCAGATCATATTAAATGTTGCTAAAAAATTCAAATCTATTGCTGTAATCCTCATATTAAACGTGTCTAACAGGTTGCCAGTAAGCTTGAGGTCTTTCCTGGTTCTGAGTTTCGGTAGCATATAAGAAGAAGCAATTAAGTATGGTGGCAGGGTGATACTTGGTGATCGTCCTGTACAGGTTGGATGAGTTTTTTTTTTTTTTTTTTTTTTTTTTAAAAGAGATTTCTGAATTATTGCAATTAACAAGTGTCAGTGGACTTATAACCGTTTGCAATTACAAAAGAAATCACATCTGTGGAGCACAACGGTGAATATTGCATGACTTTCCATTACCTGACGTGTGTTGTTTCTTTCTTGAGGATAAATTCGGTCATATTTGTCTACCAGTCAGCTCAAAAAAAAAAAAATGTCTACCAGAAAGGCTGTTAGCAATATTCAATTGCGGGAGTGCTGTGTTTAGTGTTTCACTGCTTCTTAGATATAGAGTACAAGGCTTTTCCTAGGCCTTCTTTTTTGCTTTATGCCAGTTTTACATTTTAAGATGTTCCCAACTCTGCATCAGATTTGATAATTGCTTGAATCCTCTGTCCCTTGTAAAGCTCTGTGGAACATGCCCAATTTTCGCGAGCTTACTATTAATATTTATAAGGAAAACATAACTTTTGGTTGTTGAACTTTTCTCAATTATTGATTCCGTCCCTGAAGTTTGAGTTGGAACAACTCAGTCCCTAATCCCTTAAATCAATAAGCTACAATGATTGAGTTGCTCTAATTCAAAATTTAGGCGCTAAATTGATAATTGAGACAAAGCTCAAGGACTAAAAGTTATATTTTTTCTATCTTTAATTATGAGCATGAGAAAAAAAACAACTCAGGAATGTTACTTTTTTCATCAAATATTATTTTTCAGTCCCTAGATTTTCTTCTGTGTTTTTCACTAGATTGCATTGTGGTAGTGCTTCATTATTTGCCTCTAAGGACTGAATAAATTTATCTTGAATTATGATGTCAATTGAAACAGATTACCATATGGAGAACATGGAGAAAGATGCCGCTTTGGCATAAGACTAAATTGCTGTACTCTTTAATTTTTCAAGCCATTTTTTACCCAGCCCCGACGATCTTAATAAAATGGTAAATTTCATAATCCTCTTATACCTGTGATGAGTATAAAGTGAAAAATCTTGTCTTATACCCTAACATGGGATTTTGGGTTTGCTTTCTTCAGCTGAAGGAAATAGATGACATTGACATGCTAACTCTTGTCATTCAAGAGATGAGTAAGGAGTTTCCAACTCTAATGGAGACCCTTGTACATGAACGGGATCAGTGAGTTGTCTTGCACACTTGCACCTTCGTGTTGTTTAGTCTAATTTGTATGAAAAATGTTTCTTCTATGTTATGTCGGCATTTATAGCCTAGGTAATGAGGAGGGCACCCTGGTGGCTTTAATCCGATAGCTTGCTTGAACTGTCCTAATGCGTTAAAGAGTTCACCACACCACCAACCTGTTTTGCCCACTGCCTAACATCTTTTTACCGAAATGTCGGTGTCCTAGTTAGGTTTCCCCTGTTACCGAAATGGTTGGTTCAAAAAGAAATCTGCCGTTACGTTTGGGATACAGGCTGCGGAATTCCATCTATACTTCTCATTCTAATTTATTTGGTCCCTGAATATCAGATACATGTCCTCCTCATTATTGAAGGTGGCGCGAGAGAATAGCTCAGTTGTTGCTGTTGTGGCAAGGGGCATCTACAAGGAATAAAGAAGCATTGGAAGCAACCTATTATGGTTCGTGAATATTCGTTGAATAATCATATTGATTCAAGTGGCACTATTTTCTCAATGATTCCGCATCAAATTTCTTACGTCAGTTTCCCTTTCTACTACTTACCAGGTGAAGGATCTCATGACAATTCCATTGTCAGACCAAGTCTTTCAGCAGTAAAAATCATTTCTTCCGTAGGTGTTGCCGTGGCTGGGGCAGCCATAGTAGCAGGCATCTATCTGACGACCAGGAAATAACTTGATGAATGATGAACTTGGTATGCATCTTTCGTCCAGGCGTCCAGCTATTTAATTGATTCAAGGGTCGCTGTAAAATTTCGCACGGATGCATGTCTGAGGTCCATATTTTCATTGATATTTCTGGGCCCCATCTTATCTGATTTTTTTTTTGGTGGATATAATCCTAGTTTTTTTTGTTAAAAAAAACTTAATCTAAGGTTTAAGTGAAGATAATATTCAATTGGCTATACACGTTATTAGTGCATCAATTTCTTTTCTTTTTTTTTGGTACAACTGTAATATTGTAAATGAAACAACATTTCAAATGCACGTTGAATGCTTATAAGATTGCTTCTAAATATGTGTAGTGAAAATCTGAAATCACCTCTTCGTTATCTGGAATTTATTAAATTACATTTTTTTCTGTGGAAACTTCTTAAATTACATTATTTGTTTAGTCTGAAAATTGACTGTCTTAGGGATAGATACCATATGTGTCTCGTTATGGTTTCTTTGTAATAAATGGAAGTTTACTTCGTGCATAATTCTTGAAATTAGTTAGTTATCCGTGATATCATGTTTTTAATTTGCTGTTAAATTATTATGTTAACTTTTGTCAAAAAAATTAGACAAGCTTTTTATAGCGTACAAATTGTGGGTATTAGAAATAGAAATTCACGTTCCATTTAACATTGCATTTATTCATTTTATTTAATCGATTAATTTTAATATTTAACAAATTGTATTTACGACCTCCATGTATTAGATTTTATACCATACAAAAAATTGACATTAGTTATTTAATATATTAAAAATAATTAAAATGTATAATATACACTAACATATCATATATGTTATCAGGCACTTGCTGCAATGACCGCCAAAACAAAAGGAAAAAAGGGAGAGAGAGAGAAACACTTTGCTGGCCCCAAAAAAAAAAAAAGACATCATGTGCTCGTTTGCTTGGGATAATTCTCTCTCGATTGTTGGTTTTTACTCTCGTTTAATTTTTGCATAAAATTAATTAATTTTTTTAATATTTCAGATTATTCTTCAATTTTTAAAACTTTTTCTTCCGCTTTATAAAAGAGCTAGTTTTTGGACCTGCAAAAGACCCCTTCAATACATTAAAAAAAAAAACACACACACACACACACACAATCCAAAATTACGGAAGGTGCAATGGAATGAAAAGCAACCAGACACTCAAAGGACAATCTTAAACTACAAATTCCAAATAAAATGCATAACGCCAAATCAGCTAGTTTCTCACGATTGAGATTTAATTTCTATTAAAAAAAAGCATAGATGATGCATACGCCTACGCAACTGAAAAAAATTACACTAGTTAATCATCTATTTTTTGTCAAGATAATTACATCCAATCTCCCCGAGACTCTTCTAGGGTTACATCTCACAACCTTCCATTTAGAGGGATGTGAATTGCTATTCGAGTTAAAAACTCCTGAGCCTTGACATTATCTAATTCCTAACCTCGACGCCTTGCTTCCTGTAGCTTTTTGAATATCAAATAATCAAAAGAGTTGTTGGTGATTAAATAGATAAGTTAACACATTTCAGCATCCTAAAATATTTTTTCAGACGTATTTAACACCCTAAAATATTTTATTAGATGTGTCTAAATTTTATAATGTATCTAGTGCCCTAAAATTTTTTTTTTGGTGCCGGAAAATTCTTTTTGGTACATCCAAGACCATAGGGAGAAAAAAATTCTCAAGAGTGCTAAACGCATTAAAAAAAAAACTTTTAGTATACTAAACGCATTATAATATACTCTAGAAAGCAAACTCTCTTGCGGCCATTGCTGCTATATAATCTTCCATTTTGTTCTCTTAACCCTTTAATACACTCTCGAACATTGCTGCTATATAATCTGCAATTTTGTTTCTCTTAACCCTTTAATACACCCTCGAAAATTGCTGCTATCCAATCTGCAATTTTGTTTCTCAATACCATCCATATGGAGAGACTGGCCCCTGCTTCATTGATATGAATGGTTCTGGGTTCCCTAAACATTCCAGATGTTTAAAATCCCCATTGTCTAGGATCATAGATATGACTATCATCCGGTTGTGAAATCTGCTGGTTATCAATATTTCAACCAAAGCATGGCATTGAAGTGCTACCCTTGCACATCATCCCAATTTATGCCAGCAATATTCAGACCAAGAGAAAAATAATAATTAGCATGATAACACTTTAATAAGGGAGAGAATTAATAATTAGCGTGATAACATAGTTCTTTATCTTAAAAAATAAATTTAATTTGCATTAAAAATGTTGTTTTTCCGCAGAAAGCAAAAATCTGCCTTAATAGAATATCGCAAGTGATTGAAAATTCGTGTACAATAAGAATGTACGTGGCTTATCAACATCGAAAGGAATTACGAAAGGCAATCCATTAATATAACCAACATGCCCAGCCACTCCAAGAGATGCTTCTTCATACTAGATCATCTTCTGCTAAACAAGAAAATTGGCCAGCATCATTACTATAATGCTCAGTGGAAGGGGAAGTTAAAGAATAGGGCCCATAAACACGTAATGTTTCATCTCATCACAGCAGCCTACGGCTTCGCTAAGTTGGCTTCATCACACGCACAAATGGATTTGCAAGTGACAGAAAACATCTATTAGAAAACTTTAAAAACAGGGCTTCAGTGTAGGTAACAATCAGATCACCGATAGAAATCTCTGATTGAAATCCGCTAAGATAATTAAATCATCATCATAAGCCCCATTTTTCATATCCTAAGTCTTCAACACATTCAGGATAACAGCCAACAAATAACAGAACATGCTCCCTCCCCCCCCCCCTTCTCTCCATATATATATCAAACATTTTCCAGGAGAATTCAAACTCACAGTCCAGGAAAAAATGATTCACTGGCTTTTCTTAAGGGGTGCTCAGGCAGCCAAGGGTTTTGTCAATCATGGAATTCAGATCAGTAACTCAAGTAAATAAAATAACCTCATAACCACACAAATAAGAATCCATAAAACAATCGAAAGAACAGAAAACAAATCTAACTGATAGCCGATGACAATTCGTCGAAATTTTAGGCTCGGGATATGATATAGGACTCAAGAAGTAACAATTGTCAGCGGAGAAAGGAGAGGAAACGAAACAAGACGAAAGTTGATGGAATGTCATTCGCTGATATGAAGTCACAGATGGATGGGAAGTCAGTGACTGGCGGGACCTAAAAGGAGAGCTACTAAAGTAGTAGAAGTTTCTGGCGTTTTCCTATCTGGGCTTTCGTCCAAAAGTTCATCACATGTGGGCCGTATTGGGCTGGAGCTGACTCGTAAACTCTAGACCCATATTTTTCACGTTTCGATGGCCCAGCAACAAGGAATTGACCTCCCAGACTTTCAATTTTTTTTTTCCCCCCGGAGTTTTGAAACTACGTCCTCCACACACACTTGCTTTAGAAGTATATGATGTAAGATTAGCATGAATTTTATTTTACACAAATGTTAACAAGAAAGAAGTTGCTTGTGCAGATACAGTATTTTCCTATCATGCTAAGCCGCTAATCTTTCTTTATATTGGGGTATTAATAATTACTTAATTACTGATATCCCATGTCTGATGATGTTTTGAATGACAACAAAGAATTATCTCTCAGTTCGGCCTTTTATTAACATCAAGAACTTATCTCCCTTGTAACCTGACACAGTGAGATTCATCATTTATGCCCACAACATACAACCGACCATTGGGGTCAAACAAATTAAGACACAACTGAGACAGAACATACATTACCAAACCCCAGAAATTTATAGAATAAAACTATAAAAAAAAATTAATGATACAAAATGCACCAGAATGGACAAAAACTTGCAATTACTTAGTTGTTTACAAGGGCGCACTGCTTCCTGATCTGCCCTTGTGTCCCGGTCAGGACACTGATTTGGATCATCTTCTCCATAGACTTGGCAAATTCAGCAAAGAAGTTCTCCACTGAACCCTGAAGCAGTTGGTTGACAGTGGATTTTGTGACTGGGTTGTTTAGCAACGCAGCATCTGATTCGAATAGACCCCTTCTCTTAACCACATGAACGTAGTAGCTAAGATCAAATGTCTTGCGGCTTCCAGGGTCCATCTCAACTAGTGTGGTGTTATCAGTGCTGGTCTTGCACTTGAATTTCTTTAGATTCTCTGCATATTCACTGTCTAGAGATGGATCTTGATCACCTTTACCGGTAAAGTTGTACAGGCGGTTTGAGAGTGATGGGCAATGGGAGATACCAATTGTGTGCGCACCTAAAAAAAGGTGAAATTTTTCATGGTTAGAAGCACTGAAATTTACGTCTGCGTCTGCTGTAATGTGCTCGGTGAGTGTTTGTCATAATACCTGAGAGAAGGACCAAGTCTTTCAAATCAAGTCCCACGCCGGCGAAGATTCCTTGGAGGGTGGTGATGTTTTGGAATGGAGCTGGAATGCCGAATAAAGCTTCTGTAGCGTTAGAGACAGTTCCATCCCTTCTACCTGTAGTAACTTTCCAGTAGGGACCACCCTACAAAATGGAAGAAAGAAACGGGCAAATGGGTCAGCCCGATCTTCGAAGAAAAAAGTGTAATGAAAACATAAGGATGTAGCAGAGTTTAGACTTACAGTGGCGACAATAGCGTCTCTGGCAGTCACAGCTAGAATATCAGCACAAGAGACGACACCAGGGCATTCAGCCTCAACTAGGCTCTTGATCCTCTCAATGAAGCCAAATCCTCTGAGGGTAAGATTTGGCGGAGAATCCTTCTCAGCTTGGTTGGTTGTTGAGTTCAGAAGAACTGATGCATCGCAACCCTGAAATGCCAAGTCTTAGATCCTCAGTTACCACAAAATATCTCGCCCACCAGCAATTTCTGTTCTTGAAGATCGGTACTTCATAGAGTATATGCTAAAATACTGAGTCAAAAAATGAACATGAAATGAAAAGGACACCGCTTGAAATTCATACCCTGATAAAGCAGTCATGGAACTGCAATCTAATAAGGGCGGCTGCCAATGAAGGGGCATTGCGGATATGCTCGTGAACATACTTGTAGACGATCGCCTCGGCTTTTGGGCAGGTTTTGGCATAGAAGTTTTGCTGCAATTGAGCCTGAGTTGATCCAATGATTGCTACGAGACACAGAATCAAAGCCCTAAGGAAACTCTGGCTTGCCATTCTTGTGTTGTTTGCAATGCTCTGTGTTGCCAGAGTCCCTATCTAGAGGTGTATATTTATAGTGAGTTACTTCTTCAGAGAAGTAATTTCATCTCTGGGGATGATTCATGCTAGTGGTTATAAATTTATAATTCACTAGCTGCGCCAAATCATAGAGAGACAGTCTTAGCCAACCAACATGTGCAATAAGGTATTACTTCATGTCACTTTATTATTCTTTTTCATTCAATAATGCTATCAGTATAATAAAAAAATGGTTGGTTAGGGATGTCCTTGTACTTCGATGGAAGCAAGCTCCAACCAGAGAGCTTTTTGAATATTTCAATTCATCTCAATTTACCCGTTACTACAACTTTTTAAACATGGAGAGCCATCCAGCTCTAAAAGTTGATATGCCTTACCGTATCCCTAAACTGTTGATCAGTTTTATCCAGGGACCAAGGCATCTGATGGCAGGTAGAATTAACCTTTGGAAGCAATCAATGGTAGGCTGAAATATTAACATTGTGAATAAAAATATATATATATTTATTTCACTAGACCTCCAGCGAAAAAATCCATGGGCTCACAAATAAGGCTGAGGGCAATACAGCAGACAATTGACTTACACCTGCTCCAATGTCTTAAAATATTGGAATACAGTTGAGCTGTCTAATATGTTTAAAATTATATTAGCAGACGCTACATGTTGCCACCTAAGCACATGTTTGTTAAGAGATGGTAACGTGATAGATGAATTGGAGCGTAGACAAGTTTGCTTGAAAATATTAGAGCGAGCATTAGACATAGAATATTTTTGCGGATGTCTGTAATTTGAATGTCCCTGGTGGGGGCAAAAAAAAATGATTCAGTTCGGCTTATTTATGCATCGGTTTCTGTATTTCTCTTTCCACTTGTTACTTAGGACTTAGGGAGGTGTTCATAATTTGGATGCCCCAGGGAGTCAAAATTAAAGATCTGATTTAGTTAGACAAACAAAATGCATTGGTTCCTGATCTTGTCTTTCCTCTTTCTGTATCGGAGCAAAAACTTCAGATTAAGGGATAAGGTTGTGTTGAATTATGGATCACGGGTTGAAACATTTGTATTTTTGTACCCTGTTCATCTTGCAAAAGTCTCGGCCAGTACCTTTGTAGACAAGCTAAGAGAGGGAGAGAGAGCTTTACAAAGTACAAGCTGATAATCAGGAACTGCTGATTTTTTTTTTATTATTATTATTATTATTATTATTATTATTATTTCTTACTTTGCCGTGAAGATTTGGTGCTAATGGTTAAAATATAAATAATTATTGGTTGGGTCTTCAAATACAATATGTATGATATCATGCGTTTAAAAATTGTACAGAGGTTCTACTTAAGGGGGAAAAATACCCACAAACATTACCTCAAACTTCAGGCATATATATTATTAATATACAGAAGATTTGAATTTGCAGAATATATATGACTGAATATATGATCGATTTACTTTTACTAATTGAGCCATCTTTTGTTAGAGAATGAAGACCACTGGTACGTACGTTATTTTGGACTAAAGTTTGTATTGGGGATAATTATGTCTCGGGAACAAATTCACAAATTTTTTGTTTATACAGACCAGGGATGGTAAACACTCGTTGCTTCACTTATAAATCTATATTGTTTGAATAGTAAATAATATGAAATATATTTTTAGTTGTAAATTTATGTTAAGGGGATGATAAATGCTTGTACAACAAATAGTATAAATTTATGTTCCGTAAGTAATAAATTTGAGGATATAATTAGTAATTTATAAATTTAGTCCTCCAGTGTAATTATCCATTTGTAGAATGTGAGTTTAACTCAAACGCAGAATAAACAAGTGAAATTATAGTTGTTTTGATTTAAATGTACGTTTAGAGGCACGTGACATGAGCTTAGAGAAAATAAACAAGTCATAGCTGCTTTCGCTCTAATGGGAGCTAAAAAATTAAAGCTAAAATTACCTACCCCTTTCTTTATCCATTATTTTTTATTTAATGAAAAGCAATCCAATCGTAATTTTAAGACACAATGCTACAGACTTATTTGTAGCCATACCCTCCGAATGTCAAATGTTGAAAGATTGGAATTGCTGGGACCTAAAGATAAGGAATAGTATAAAGGTAACAATATGAGGATTATATGCCAAAATGCAAGGGATGTATGGTTGAAGATAATATATACTAGTAGCTAGATGATTAAGGCAAATGTATTGGAGGGAATCATGGAGGCATTGCGCTGGCCAAACATGAATGAGATAAGATCAAGTTTTACGTGGAATAATATACAAATATATACGGAGAGTAACAAAAAAAGAAGCTAAAAATTACTAAATCTTAAATCAAGTTTAATAATGACACTTTATTTAGTATTGATAATACTGAATTTGCAAATGACGAGAAATTTTTGTTGACATTCCTTATTTGGCATTTACAAATTTTCAGGTTTTTGTTTGTTATTTTTCCCCACACACACATATATATCACACAAACATGACTTGCTAATATTATTCCTCAACATTAATTCTATGCGCAGTGTCCATCCAAAACGTAAGTGAC